GTCTTGGTCGGTAAAGGGGAGGACGCTACGATCACCGTTTGCATACTCCGAGCCGGCACAGTAAGGAACGAGGAGACAGCCAGAATTGAAAATCTAGAGCACCGGGTGAAGGAACATGATTAAGCCGAAGGGCGAACGAGATAAACAGAGACAATTGGGGCAGGGGGCGTTTAGTACCACACACACGCACCTGGATGACATTGTCCTCCGTTATACAGAGTCTGTAGGTAAGCGCAGTGAGCGCACAGGGCAGAAGAGTTCTAAAACGGAACCAGGTGAGTTGGTTGGCACTTCGGAGACCATCGGCTAGACACACTAGTGAGCCGCTAGCGTGGTATTTTACAGCGAAATCTGGCAGAGATTGGGGGTTTCTGAGGGATGGCCGACAGGCCACAGTACCACTGTAATCTGAGTCTGGAGAGGAGGCAGTCGTGCCCTGCTCGGCCACACTGGATGCTCGATGGTTGAAAAAGACTGAGCCGAGCGCGTCATCTGGAAGTATGCCTTGTAGGTAGTGTAATTTCACAAAGGAGTAGGCCGGACGCCAACAGAGGGTTGGAGGGTTTTTCGACGTTGCCCTAATGTCCCCTGAGGCTGTGGAGTCGTATGGGGGAACATTACCGGCTAGCCACATGGCTGATTCGCTGCCGAGGGATTCCGTGGTGGATAGCAGCATTGCTAGAATAAAATAAGCGCTACTTTAGTAAGTGAGTAGGCACATTATCAGATTTATACAATTTTGGAGTAGGAAGCGCCGATAGAAACACTCAACAAACTGAAATGAAAATTACGGGCGGACAGGATTAGGCAAACAAGTTTAGGGTAAGAATGCCTTGTACGACATCCCCCAATGATAAAAGTCTCCCCATCCAGGTATATTAAGGGATTTGTCGTTAAAGTGAATTGGAAAGGTGGGGCACGCCAGGGGCCATATAGGTGCGTAATAAGTGCGCAATAACAAGAAATTAAAGCCGCTTGTGGTCGTTTTACTGAACTAAAATACGGGTGAAGATGCTGCGGAAAAGACAAAAAAGATTGAAAAGAAAGTTTATAGGCCAAGAAAGCTATTAGAACCACTCCCATTAGTCAACATACAAAAGGAAATTTTTGGAAGTAGATTTCAATTAGTAAAGCCCCCTGGAGGCCGTCATAGGAGGAACTCTCAGCAAATTTAGTTCACGGAAGGCTGCAGAAACAGAAAAATTGAAATTGAGTTGTGTACTTAAGAGGCTAAAGTTACCCAGTAAAAAAGAGGTCGACTGGTTTCGAAAATATTCCCCCAAAACACGGATTGGTAGTCGTGTAAATGCTAACAGGCATCTGTTGTTCTTCGCTCAAGCGTAAGTCTAGTTTCCCCAATGAAGAACACCTTAAAAAATACCCCCAAGGACACAACAACACCGTCATGATTAGGTCCAACTTACATTTAAAAAAGGTGAAGATATTTAGCCCATCTACAAAGCGTGAGAGTAAAGTTGATTGCTTGTGGTGAACAGCAAATCGAAGTCGAGTTTGAGATTAAGCCAAGTCACCCTAACCAAGTACCTTCAACCGCCATGGGGCAGTCGAATGCATAAGTTGTGATGGATGGATATCGGTAGCACTGGTAACATAAAGGAGTCACAAGATACCTCATATTGACAGCACAGGTCTTGACTAAAAGTCCAGACACGTGTTTTGCCCACATTCGGCCGCATCTTAACACAGCTTATCCGGCTTATCACTAAGGGCATTAAAACGCAGTAATTTCAAAATTGAAGCACCTACCAGAAAGCATACAGGGAACGCTGGAAGACCCACCGATGAGCCGGACCCCAGGCAGCTGTATTAAGCAGCGGCAGAAGACTGACTAAATAGATGTTTGGGCTTTTAGCTAGTATCTGCGCGGCCAATAGGTCCAATGTGCGTATATTACTGGCTGTCTGCTTGCAGCTTGAGGAATATTACGCTGTAGGTGGTAGTAGTTGACCTAAACGACCATCATAGGCCGAGGAGACTCACAAGCTGAAAGATTGAGGCTTGAGTCACGGTACTCAGACGCCAACTCCGTAAACAGGCATCTGGACCGCCCTGCGGCCTACAAAGTCCTGCACAATTACGCAAGTAAAGGACAGGACAGAGTCAAACCGAAGTCAGTATTTGCT